CCCCCCCCCCCCCCCCCCCAACCACAAACAAAGTGATTTACAGTATTTATTCATAACATACCAGATTGTCATGGAAAAATGGTTCGTATTCATACAACACAATAAAACTACATCATTAGCCCATTATGCAAGATGCAGCTTTCTAACAAAAACAACTGAACAGCAAGCTAGTTCTTTGCAAGAGAATGGCTGAAATAATTACAAATTAGTAAAATTATCCCAAAAAAATAATAATAAAGAAAAGCAGGGATTGAGGGTTATGTGAAGTCATAATCAAGTAATCGTCATTATCCATCAGATTAAACCAGTCAGAGATTATTATTGCAACATTAACCTAAAATTCATCCGCTATCTCCCAAAAATTCCATATAAAAAATGTATGAAATAGAGTAAAATTCAAGTAGGGTCCAGAAAATTGAGGGCAAAGAAAGAAAAAGATCTGAGCAAATTCTGGGCATGCCCCATTTTTCAAAGAGAAGGGAACTACAGCATAACCTAATAAAGGAACAAAAAAGGTGTGAACTTTGGGTGCGATTTGGGGTACCCAGTTGCGAAAGTTAGTGAAAGAGAAGAAGGAAAAACCTCTGAGTGATTAAGAAGAAGGTGTCGCCTTCTTTGCTGTTAGCTTGGGAAGCGAGAGCAATGTCTCTGATCATGATCCTCTCCTCGTCTGGACTCAGCTCAGAGACGCTGCTGCTACACATCGATACCTCTGTCATCTTCTACTCTCAACTCAATCCAATTTCGTCTTTTTCTTCTCTCTCTTTTTTTTTTTTCAAACAATGAAGATTTAGAAAGAAAGAAACAACAACAACAACAACAATCTCTCTCTTGTATCTGCGTTCAACAGGGTTACCCGTGGGGTGCACCTCGGTTCTATGCTGCTGTACACAATTGCAAATTTATTGTCAACAAAAATTGTCGAGATAACAGGTTAGGGTGGTTTTTATTTTTTGATATATATAAAATAAAATTGAGTGGGAGGGGACCCACTTCAAGTTAGAGAAACTATCAAAGTTTTGGGGCGTATATTTTGGCAACATGTTATGGATTTGAAGTATTTTTTTTTTACTTTTTATTAATAAGAGTTGAGATAATATTTATAAGTTTTATACTCAATTTTTTTTTCTTCTGCCATTATAATTTTAATAGATTAAAAAAATATTTTATGAATGAAAAATTCTAACATGAATATTAAAGAATGTGGTACATGGATGAAACACTATTTTTAACCATTAAATTTAATATTATAATAATTAATAATTCAGATTTATTACTTGTAACTTGGAAAAAATAATTTTTGTATTTTTGTAGATTAGTCCCCATGTAAAATTTTACTTTTTTTGGCTTTATTTTATAATTTTAAAGGTAAAATATTCCACGTAGGAATTCACCCACAGATCGCCATCGCCGCCACCACCACTTCCACCAACTGGTTCCCACCCCTGCCCTCGCATCGCCTCCCTCATCCACCGCCACCTTCGATCGTCCACGACATAAAACTATTTAACATAAAGACTATTTTGTAAATATAAATAAGTTACAACACTTCCTATTGCCGGTAAATTTACTACCTTATGGATGAGACATGTATTCAACTACTTCATGCTAAAAACACTCTTTATCAACTTTGTGGTTAAGGAATTTGGTTGATTTTTTTTCTTATCAATCACATTTTTTATAAATTAAAATATAAGACCTTATTTAAAAGGATCTCAAATCAACTATCTATTAGTAAAGTTTTGAATAACCTTATAGATTATTCTAGTATTTTAACATTTATATTATTAATAAAAAGAGAAAACATTTTCTTATATGTAATTGGCATAATTCTCCAATCATAATTAGAATTTTAATTGTTATATTCATAAATGTATAATGTATATTAATTAGATCTACATTAAATACAAGTACATATTATTGAGATAAAACTTAATTTTTAATTAAAAAATGACATCAGCCACAAATAAAGAATTATACTTAAATTTTATCCTTAATAAAAATGATATATTTTTTATGTACATTTTTTTTTTCTTATTTTGCATCTTAAGTTTCAAAACATTTTTTCTCCCTCATACTTTATTTATTTAATGTTTATTCTATTTTTCCCTACTTCTCCAAAAATTATTTTTCAAACTTCTCACACTTTCTCTAATCGTTAATCACTCAAGTATATTTAACTTTAATTATATTTATAATTTATTTTTTATTTCTTAAATAAAATATATAGAAACCCAAATGTTTTTTAACTATAGTATAATTAAAATTTATATGAATATTTTATATAACTAAAATTCATAATTAAAAGAAATTTGTATTTTAAAATTTTGGTTAGATTACGATTTTAATTTCTTATAAATTTGATTGCAATTTTGATTTCTCAAATTTTATTCTTTTAATTTTATAAGATTAATAGTTCTAGTTCAACAATTAAATATTTGGCAAGTAAAATTGTAACTATTGATGATCTCTTTTAAAATAATTAAATTATATTTTAAAATAATAAAAATGATAGATTAAAACAAATAAGAGATTAACAAAAAAATTTAATGACAATTTTGTTAAAGAAAATATATTATAAACACTCACAAGTTTCTAAAAAAAACTATCACAAAATAGTTATTTTATTTTATTCTAATTAGTGGTTTAACTTGTGTAATGCATATAATAAGTATTTTTTTTATAAATAAAAAATTATAATAAATATTATTGAATATATAAATTATAGGATAATTAAAATTTATAATAAGTAAATATTTTAAATATATAAATTATGTTTAAAATCTAGAACTAGCAATAAAAGGAATACATTATTTTTGTGTTCATATTTTTTAGATATTAATATCCTTAAACTAATATTTACAACTACCTCACTATTGTGTAGTTAACCACACACTCATTTTATCACATCTTTTTATTATTTTTTTCACTTTAAAACATCAGCAAAGTGCCTCATTTTTCATAGTTTATGAAGAAGAAAAAATAAGGTTGACTTGTGTGTTTAAAAACTTTTGCTAAAAACTATTTCAATCCAAGTTAATTAGAATGTTGGCAACATAAACGTATAATAGAGATCATCCAAAATATTAAAGGATGAGGGAAGATAGAAAACACACAACTTTGTATTGGTTCACCCTTTACCAAAGAGTTGTGTTCAATCCCTTCTTTTGTGAAAGAATTCACTACTTAATCACATAGTACAAGCAAGCATTTTTAGCCTCTTCAAGTGTTACAAACTATTTGTCACACGTATTGGACTTTCCAATTATTCTTTCTAACAAATTTCTTCAAGCTTAACAACACAAAAGGTTAAAGGTTAAAAGTGTTTAACTCACTTGGGTCGAGATATGAAGGTTGCAAACATTTTGGATCTACTCTCAATTAACATTAATGTTATAAAGGGTTACAAAGATTGTCTATTGGAGATCGTCCACTCAAGGTACTTGAGTATGTATGTGAAATATGATTTTTTCTTGATCTCAAGAGAATAACAATTCACAATTTTGATAAACAACTACGTGATCTTGTTCCCATCAATGAGGGTGGTATTTATATAGCCTTCAAAAAGATATGTTGGGAGGTAAGTGCAGGGAGAATAAAGCTTTTGTTGTAGGTGTTGCTTTTGCACACATAAGAAAGTACAACATGTGTTTTTGTCCTTATGTATCAAGTATATAGTTGTGTTTTGTGTATGGGTGTGCGCATATCCATTCTTGGTTAAGAATTTGTAAAATTAATGCTTTGTCCCGTAGCCATATTAGTATAACTAATACATAAAAGGCATTATTTTTGGCATAAGAAAAAATTAGATACATTATTCTCTTTCTTGAGAATGTGTATACATTAATTTCACTTATAAAGATATATTAAGATATAATATTCATACAACTTCCAAGATCACCATACCAAACATAATCACACAAAATAAACATATATTCAAAACTTAGAATATAAACAAGGGTAAATTATTAAATACTTATTTACAAAAATTATTAGACAGTCTAGTAAAATGTTCATTTATCGTCTTGATTCTTTGAGGATAGTTAAGTAAATGTTTATTTTTATCAAAGTTCTTATTAATATAATTTTTTAATGTCCATTGTTATCACCAAAATTTTATGGAGATAAAAGTTTTCATACCTTTGATTCCAATAATCTCTCTCATGTTGATGATGATAAACATTAAAAACGAATTTTTATTAATTTTTTTAAAAAAGATATAGATTTCTGAGTGTATTTGATCAAAAGGTAAGTTTATCAGGAGAAAATTTTAATTAAATTCCTTTTAGTAAAATATCTTCTTATAGTAAAAACTTTGGACTTTTATTTTTCAAGAAAACACTTAAAGTGAGTGATTGGACAACTAGGTGGTTTAGAGAAGGGTTCAAGAGGAGATAAGGGTGCAAATTGAAAGCTGGAACCGCATCAACAAACTCACTAGATGTTCAAAATAACCCTAAATGAACCTTCAACCTGACTAAATTGAAACTTAATCATATTCTTCGGTTGTCAAGCTTACTACTGTACGAGTCTTACTAACTTTAACAACAATCAAAGGTTGGTTTCTAAAGAAACTAGATGTCAACAATGCATTCATGCTTGGTGACTTGTATGAGAATGTTTATATACATGACACTCCCATTTTGGCTTTCACTTCCTCATTCTCCCAACACTACTCCTATAGTGTGTAGACTTTATATTTCATAAGTTTATCTATAGACCAAAGCGAGCCAATAAACAATGGTATTCCAAGTTGTTTTTAGCTCTACTCTTCATGGGATGTACACTCAATCCAATGATGATTATTCCTTTGGTTATTAAGACGTCTTATTTCATTACACTACTTATATATGTAGATGACATTATTTTGAAAACACTATACAAAAAGAGATTTTTATGATGAAGATTTTATGTCGGATGTAATGTATATGACATATAAAGTGACTGAAGGACAAAGTTATAAATATAAAAAATTATATTATGATGAGTATTGACTTACCCGCCATTGAAAGTTATTTTTATGTAAATTTTTTATGATAGATGAGTTAACACTCGTCATAAAATGTGTTGAAGAAGATCAACTTTGTAGTTGATCTCAATCTTTTTATGGCAAGTGTAATGACACTTGACATAAAATATAAAAAAAAAACTTTTTATGATAGGTGAAACAACACCTGACATAAAAAGTGTTTTAAAAATTCATAAAATGCAATTCACATTTTTCAACTTTAGACTCTTTTTTTTTTTGTTTTGTAACCTTTCCCTTTTCTTTGTTATCCTCTTCCTCACACATTTAGGTAAATTATTTTCTTCTTCTGCTTTCATTTTTTTTGTATTTTCTATTTCCAGTTTCATTAACTATCCATTTTCTTTTGCTTTGAAAGTGTGGTGGTTTTGGAAACAAACATGGTGGTGGATGTGATGAACATGGTAGCAGAAGTGGAAAACACAAAATGTGGTGATAATGAAATGCAAAGATGTAAGAATGAGAGGGAAATAGTGTGACGACGGAATGCAAATGTGATGAGAGGAAAAAAAACACAATGAAAAAATAATTATTAACCTAAAAAATAAAACTTTTTATGTGAGCATAGAAAATCAAGCTTTTTATGTTGGTTATTTTTATATTTGACATAAAAAGTCAAAGCCTTATAAGTTGTAGAGATCTATGATAAGTTTAAAATTGATATAAAAAAACATTTTTTTTACCCATAATCAAAAGTGACATATACACCGGTGCAAGTAATAACAATAATGAGATTGTTTCTAAATATCTAACTTCTATTTTAATAAACTAAAATAATTATAATAATACTTAGACTCGCAACAAAGTAAATGTTTTTTAATTAAGTTTCCAACAACATTCACAAAGAAAATTATATAAATTTATTAAATTAATTTTTCCTTAATAAATTTATTAAGTTATCTCTTATAATTAGATTCAATCAAGCTTACATCACAAAACACAATTGCACATATCAATAAATAATATTTTTGAACCCGAATATAATCTTCTAAAGTCACATTTTGCCCAACCTAAAGTTGTTGTAAATAGCTAGCAACTTAAATTAATATACTTTACTTTAGCGATATATAAAGTTATGGAGTTTTGTTCTTAGTTGGCCAATGATACCAGGCTTCATTCACTGAAGTGAATTTCTCTACTAGTCATCTTTCTTTCAATTCTAACATAAACATAATCTGCATCACAATATCTAATGAACATGAAATCTTAACTATTTTCATAGAATAAACTAAGACTAGTGCGGTAGCCAATACACACCGAAATATCTTTTTCATAGTTTTCAGACGTGTTTGATGGCACTAAGGAATGCCTTTATCTATCCCCCACAAAAGGGGTCAATGTTACAAATTTCAATATATTAGTTTTCAGCGTAGTACCACACTTTTGCAAGTTTGATTTTATGGGGTTTCTTATTGTGCCCTAGGAGACGCATCTTAGAATTTTTTTTATCTATCAAAATTGAAATAACAGTATTAAAGTTCAAACCAGAAATGATGTGGATCTTATAATAGATATTATAAAATATTTTCTTAAATTTTTTTACTAAAATAGTACCTTAATGCTAGATGGTTAAAGAAGTACAACTAGTCATAAAGCAAAAGGCATGCTCTACCCTATGTTTACATATGCCATTTAACGAGGAAAATAACATTCCTAACAATGCTCAAAACTAATATCAACCCCATCAATTTATTCACCATTTGTAAATCCTCTCTTTTCTTCCTCCCTACCATCCTTTAAATTGACAGATGAGACATGTTCATCGGCTTGTTCCAAATCTTCTTCCTTCTTCCTTTCAATAATTTCTTCCAAGGACTTGTACTTGTAAAACCAAGCACATATTAAATAATAAACGAAATTTACAACTTGAATCCCACTAGCAAGAAAATAATAGTAGTCCAATCTACCCCTATTGAGGTTCCTATCAGGAAGCCAATTCCTCTCCTTGCCAGTGTACTTATGCACTAATGACACCAACAATGTGCCTGTGTAGTTCCCAATTGCTGAGGTTACGCAGTACAAAGCAGTAGCACTACTTCTCATGCTTTCAGGTGACTGCTCAAAGAGAAATTCCAAATGCCCAACAGACATGAAGATTTCAGCCACCCCATGAAGACAATACTGAGGTACCAACCAAAACACACTCATAGGAATAGTGGCTTTTGGATCGTCCAAAAGGTGGTACTTGGCAGCTACTGATTTTCTTTTCATTTCCAAAAATCCTGCAACCACAGTGGCTATGATGTTGATTACAAAGCCTATTCCCATTCTTTGCAAGCTAGTGATTCCAGAAGGGTTCCCTGTGAATCTTCGGGCAAAGGGAACAAAAAGGCGCTCATATAGAACAACTCCTGACATCATGGTTAGAACACTGAAAATGGACATGCTGGCTGGGGACATTTGGAACGAGTGAGTGAGGTGGCGGTCCATTGTGCGAGCTTGTAGAATTACAAAGCTGTGAAGATGTGATGAAGATGTTACGAGCAGAATTCCTGATGCCCAAATTGGAAGCATTCTAATGATAGATTTTAATTCCTCAACCCTGTGGACAGTGGCTAATTGCCATAAGTTTGGTGTTGCACTTGGCTCTCTAGCCTCATCTTCTGTGACAATTGCAGCCTTGTCCAACCATCTGCATGTAAACCCTTGGGTAGTTAAGTAATGTAAAGTGTTCATGTGTTTGAGTATCTCCTTAAAAACATTTTTAAAAAAGAAAAACATGATAAATAAAAATGAAATAAATTTATCTATAAATTAAAGTTAATTCATAAAAAAAAAATTATCAACTTTTCAAAAGTTTTATTTTTAACTTGTACATAAATTGGTTAAAATTTTTAATAAAATTTATTTCGATTTTTCTTCCATTTTTTTTTTTTGGGAGAGATTTCTCCAAACAAACCCTTAAAAATATTGGGTTAGTGAAGTTTCATGTAAATTTTGCACTCATGTTTCAAGTATTTGGTTTGAATCAAAAGATAACTTACTTATATTGTTTGGAGTGTAAAAGCCTGCCATCCAAAGAAATAGGATCATCAAGTTCCCAATTTTGGTACAAAAGCTTGGGATCTTCCGGTAAAGCCTCCTTCCTTTTCTTTATAGCTGCTACTATTACTTGGGCCAAACGAACCAAAGGGCTTCCTTCTGGCTTCACTGTCTTGTAGAGTGGTGAGCCCAACACAAAGGCAATGATGGATATGAGCATGGCAATGGTAGGAATTCCAAGGCCCCAACCCCAGCCCATGTTGTCTTGAATGTAAATCACAATGGTCAAAGCACTTAGAGAAGCCAACCCCATGCTGAAAAAGTACCAATTAAAGAGGTTCCATTTCCTTGATGCAACACCACTTTTGGACATGTCAAATTGGTCTGCTGAAAAGGGCACAACACAGGGCCTAATGCCACCTGATCCAATGGATGTGAGGAGGAGGCAGATGTAGAGTACCCACAGTTGTGAGGATGTGGCTTCTTGGCAGTTTACTTGTGTTGGGCATGGTGGGGGGCGCAAATTTGGCATAATAGCTGATACTGTGATGCTGATCAATCCCTGTGTCAAGAAGAATGGTGTGACAATAATTAATTAATTGGCAGGGTATGCAATATGGTGTGGTGTTAAGTGGAAAGTGCTTGTAATTCAAATCATTTGTTTGGATTTGAAACTTTATGTGACTGAAATGGTGGGGATGTTTCAATAAGTTTGAGGGTTTTAAAATCTGGACAGATTGAAGAAAAAATGAGATCAATCCTTGTAAAAATTATAAGGTACTGTAGTAGAATTATATGATGTTTCATGTATTTCCTTAATTTTCTTTGTGTTTTCATATTGTTTTTACTTGATTCGTGAAAGTGAAGCACCCTTTAATTAAAGGGTTAAAGACAATTGCCTGGTATATTAGAAATCTGCTCAAAAAAGATTTTGTTAGTTACTAGCAATCTTGATGGAAGGTATGATGATACCATCCATCACGCAGTCGATCAAAAGTTGATAAATAGTTATTCCTTATATAATAAATTTAAAATTGTAAGGGTTAAATATTTTTTTATTTCTTGAACTTTTATCAATTTTTACTTTTACTTCTTGAACATATTTTATTTAATTTGTCTTTTAAAAACAAATTTCATAAATAAAAGAATTGACGTCAAGAACAAAAATTGTAATTGGAAAAAAATTTAAGGACTAAAAGTAAAAATAAAAAAAAATTTAAAGACTAAAACTAATAAATAAATAAAAATTGTTCAGAAACTACAAATAAAAAATAACAAAAATTTAAAGATTAAAAACATATATAATCCAAAAATATTAATTATGTTACAACCCATAATTAGAACATAGTAATTTACCAATGAAGTGAATTATAATCATTCAATAAAAAATAGTTAAAAATCTAAAATATTTAAAATAAGTAATATGTTAGCTACTACACATGAATATAAATAAAGAGAATAGTTATATAAATTTTATTTTTTAGTTTTTATAGTTAAAAATATTTTATTTAATTTCTATATATATTATTTTTGTTTTTTTTTTATCTTTATAATTTCTTAAACTTCATTTTTTAGTCTCTGTAATAAATTTTACACAATAGAAAATATAAGAAAATAAGAATAATGTGTAGAGTGTAAAATGCAATGTTTTCAACTATAAAAACGAAAAGATGAAAATTTTGAGAGTATCAAAACCAACCGAGTACTTGAATTAAAAAAATCATTTCTGCTTTTCAAATTAAATATGTGTATGAATCTTTGAAGTGTTTTGTCATATTTTCTAACATGATCAAAACGATTTCTATTTAAATATGTATAGGGTAGGGAAGTTCACGGGTGTGATGTAATGCAGCAATGAGAAGCTTAGATTGTAGTGAAAAGGATAGGGTAAGAATTAAGAAACCAGTTCATAAATGAGAGAAGCAATGGTAATAGTCCAAAATCGACCAGCAAAGGAATCTGCTATAATAGCCCCAATGAGAGGGGTGAAGCTAGATGTTCCTCCAAAGTTTGTCAGTGTGTTTGAGGCAGCCACCAATGGCATGTTCAGTTCTTGGGTCAAGTAACTTATCAAGTTACCGTGAAAACCAGCACTTGCAAATCTGTCACACACTTCATTTGCTGCATTTTAATATCAACAAAATTAGGAATATGCAATGCAATGAACATTTGGACACTGCACACTTGTTCTTTTTTGCCCTCTCCTTTGTGTTAGCTACACAGATTATCTTATTCTCTCAGCCACTCATTTATGGATATCGTCAAGTGGGACAAAGGAAACTATAATATATGGTACGGGACATGCTCAGAAATCATAAAGCATACATTATTTTAATGCCTACCCTATTTTTATAAAACAACCTATTTGTTATTCGTTACTTTTTAAATAAGATTTAAATTATAAAAAATTATTTGCTCTATGAAAGTAATACAGTTGGTTAAGTCTCTTTGTTCTTACTAATTAGAACTTGAAATTGAATATGATTTTTCTTGTTTTATATTTTTTCAAGCGAGAGATGAAATAGACACTTCTTGATATATTTCCATATAGAGACACGCCAAAGATAAAGATAAGATAGATGATTCATAGTTGATAGTTGGCCTTGGTCTTGTATAATAGTGTGTCTAGTTCTAATCTAAACTTTTCAATACAAATAAATAAAATTAATTACTCTTTTTATTTTTATAATTTTTAATTTTTATAATAAAAGCTATTTTACTTTAATTATATATATATATTGTTGTCTATTATTAAATAAATTAAAAAGTAAAATTTATAAAATTATAAGAATTGAATTAACAAAACTCTATAAAAACTAAGATAAAATGTTTTTAATTATAAAAATAAAAAAAATAAAATGAATCTTTAAATAATGACTAAAAAATTAGTAAAAAATAGAATTTAATTAGGATTGCAAAAATATTTTAGGTGTTTTATTTTTCACTCAAAATTAAAGTTTCATTTCAATAATTTATAGTAAAAAATAAATTTGACAATAATTGCTAGATTGAAATTTTATTTTAATTAAAATAATAAAATAATATTCAAAGTATTTAGCATAATTTTTTTATTTATTTATACTATGAGGTCAAAATACTTCATACATCTATTTATTTTCTGTAAAAGAAAAATAAAAATTGAGAGCAATTATATATTCACAATGTGAAAGAAAATGAGGATTAGAAAGATGGGAAGCAAGAGATGATGAGAAGAGAGAAAACAAAATGAATTATATGAATAATAAGATATTTTCATTTATAATAAAAATATAATTACAATAATTATTTAAATAAATTAAAAGACTAAAGCATAAAAATAAAAATTTAGATAAACATAAATTTATTTTTAATAAAAGTTTTGAGACAAAATAATTCCTTAAAAATATGGAAACCAGAATTTTGTTTTATTTGGTAACATGTTTCGCCCTTTATCTGATAAATCTGACATTTAAGAGAATGCTTTCAATTCTGAAAGAAAGACCGGAAAGTTTTTAAAAGGAAAATAAAACATTTATTGTGCAACAAAAAGTAGGTCGTGACAGAGAAAAAAACAATATGTTAAAAATTAAAATGGTAGAGTCACCATTGAATTTTCCTTACTTAATTAGAGATAATAGTGAGTGTTGCATGGTACTAATATTTTTTTATGGGTAAATCATCTTCAAGTTTACTTTTCAAAAATCAATTTTTTAAAAGTTTTTTTTTATGTTTTTATATTATTTTTTAGTGTAGATTAATTTTTTATTATTAACTTTTTTTAAAAAAAAAATTTATATCGGTCTTTTAAGATTTCATATTAAACTAATCTAATTCAAGAAAGATGAGTAAAATTTAGTAAAAAATTATTAACAGCTTTGAAATATTATATAAATTATCTTTATAAATAAATAAAAATTCAACATGGGTCATAATTCATGGTTTTCATGTATTTTTCGTCGTCCGTTGCAATCTAAGTTGTTATATATGTTATCCATTCTAATTTTCCAATATCTTTTTATTAATTTTATTTTATATTTTAAATAATGTATATATGTTAACAAAATTATTAATTACATAAATTATAATGAGTAACTTTATGTTATAAAAAAAAACTAAAATGCCTTTGTTGAAAAAGTTGAAACATGATTATAAAATAATTTAGTATTTAGATGAGATATAAATAAGTACCAATGTTACTAAAAAAAACGTTTCCTTAGTTTTTTTAAAATGACACTTACTTCCACTAAAAAGAAAATAATAACACTTATTTTGAGACAAACCAGTGAAATAGAGGAAATACTTCCTTAATCCATGTCCTTACTACTTGCTATTAAAACTAAATCTTACTTAATGCTTACTTTTGGTCCTTTTTTATATGATGTCTTTTTAAAAAAATGGTCTTGATCCTTCTTATAAGATCTCTTCTAAATTGTTTCGGAACATTTGCACGTGGAAACTGTTTCATTTCACGTTCTGCGAAAAAATATAGTATATTAGAACCTCATATTTTAGTTAATTGTTTTTTTGACAGCTCTTATTATTTGAGTTAATTTGTGCGTTAATTTCACCCAAAAAAAAAAACAAACAAAAAGTTTGAGTTACGGCTATTCAAATTACTTTCCCTTTATTATTATTATTGTTATTTATTTTACAACTACTTTCTATTAATATACATCTATTAGACAGACTCTAACATTGGGCCATAATAATAATAATAATAAAGCAATAATATCCCAAATTAGAATTTGAAACATTTCACACACACACACAAAATACAAAAACAATATTACTAATTTTATTGTCATTTAATTCTTGAATATAATGAGATTCAAAATAATCCTTAATGATTGAACTCATTTCCAAAAGCTATATCCATCTCTCTCTTTTTCTAATCAAAGCCAAAGAAAAGCAGAAAAAATGAATGAAAGGGGGAGGATGAATATGAAGATTGAGTGGGAAATGAATTAAATTTAAGAGAAAAATAATAATAAAAAAGAAATGTGAGTTTGTTACCAAGGATGAAAGGTAATGTTCTTATGCCTCCTTGTTGATGCTTCTTCTTCTTCTTCTCTTCTTTCTGGTCCACCTCCTCACAACCCTTAGTTCTCTTCTCTATCTCCATTTTTTCTGAAGGCAGTGAGTGAGTAATGTACCTTGTGTTGTGTGCCTCTCTCTCTATATATATCAATTATGTCGTATAAAGACACTGCAGTGGGGTCACGGATCAATACTCATTTCATTTTTTCTTTTTTGTAAGAAAACCTTTTTTTAAAATATATAATTACAAAAAAAAAATCTCAGTCAATCATCAAGATTTTTAATTTAATTTATTTTGGGGAATATGTTGATACTCATAAATGAGTCATCCCTCCTAATATGATTTTTTTTCCCATACGTATCAATCAAGATTCAAATTTAACTCTTTTAGTAAAAAAAAATAATCTAAAAACACTGCTAAAGAAAAAAAGACATTTTAAAAACTAAAATTAGGTTATGTGTAAATTAATTTATAAAATATTAGTTTTTAAAAATATATTTAAATTTATTTATTTTATAAATTAATTTATATATAAATTATAAAATATATTTTTAATTCTTATAAAATTTATCGAGTTTTGATTTTGTTCATTGTAATTTTTTTTTTTAATTTTTCATATCTCTAAAATTGGAATTATTGACTTTAGTTCTTATTTTTTATGTGATAATTTTTAACTACCTTTTATTTATTAAAAGTTTGAGTAATAACTGTAACGACCCGCCTGGCCGTCACACAGCAACCCATACAACACCACATAGAATAAAGCATACTTATATAAGAATAAAATATATATAATATGTCTAGCATGGGGCTCAATATACAAAAATACATCCAAAATAGCCAAATTAGTGGCCAAAAACAACAAAAAGCAACTCCATCTGCCAGCTGCAGACCGACCTCAACACACTAACCTATCCCTGTTCTGCTTCCATACACAGTATGATCATTACAATCCAAATCACATAGAAACAACAAAGGGTTGCCTGTGACACCCTCTACCCCATTTATATACAATAAATGTAAACAATAAAAAAAATTTCTTTTTGAGAGAATAACATCTTTTATAGTTGACAACATCTTTCATGATAAAACAAATGTCTCAAATATCATAAAGTAGAAGATTCACATTCGTAACTCATAAATCATAAGAAGTCAACATATAAGTATCAAAACTCAAAAAAATCATATAAAGGAAAATATAGATTAATTCCAGCAAAGGTGGCAGTGCCTCCTAGTTAGGAATTAAATTATAACTTTCAAATCATATAATAAAAATAATATGACAAAGATACACATTTTGGTCTTTTATCAAGAACGTTCAAAATTACAAAAGAAAGATTATAAACTTTATTTACGTTATTTCTTCGTTAGAAATTACAAAAGAAAAGAACTAAAGTTATTAAAATAATAACATATTAGACTAAGCTAGCTATGCCCCGATGTCACATCCTATCAGAGCATGCCCAACTGAAGCCTTAAGCCTCATCACCAACATCATGATCACCTGCAACATAATTTAAACATATACAAAAACAACAAGGGAGTGAGAAACATCTCACTCAGTTTCAGGTGAAGAAATAAAGGTTAGATAGCACACACACACAACAAATATAAGTCACATGTAAATAATACACATACATAATCAATAACACATATACACTTATTTATCATGCAATGATGTCATGGACTTGACTCATAAATGCATGCATGTGGCGCCACAAGGAAGTTTCACATATCATCACTGGTGACCCTAAGGTACACCTGGTTACATCACTGGTGACCCTAAGGTACACCTTGTTAGCATGTTACGTCGTGGGTGACCCTAAGGTACACTTTGTTAGCATCATTGGTATGCGGCCTCAGCGGCACACCGGAGTAATATATGCATATGATGCATGTCATACATTCATTATTTCATTGACTCAACATTTAACTTATTACAGAATTTCATTTAGTACATCATGTCATTATTTTTCAGTCTCATAATCATAGCTTGTCTCAATAATCCATTCTTATGTCTCATGTCATTTGTGCATATTTCACATGGTCATGTCATAATTACTCCTCATAAGGTCCGCACAGGAATTCACAGAGAGCATTCTTATTCATATTAAAACTTATTTATTTTTTAACATTAATTCTATATTCATTTATTACTTCCAACAAGGAACAAAGTAACAAGGAACAAAGTAACAAGGAACAAAATAGAGCAAACAGAAAAAAAAATAGAACAACAGGCAAGGGATTGGGAGCCAACCCGACAATCAAACTATCCAACAATTATCCCCACACCCCCGAGCGAGGTTTCTCACTCCCCCTTACCTGGATAAGCAGAGTTGAAACTAGAGCAGAACCTCCTTCTCTGGATTCCCTCTTCCTTTCTCTCTCTCTTTCTCTTTCTCTTTCTCTTTCTCTCTCTCTCTTAGAATTTTCACTCTTCTAAGTCAATATAAAATTTTCACCGCCTGCCTCCTATTTATAGGCATCCTGATGTACCCGAAACGGCCCGTACTGAATTCGGAACGGCTCGTTCCGGAGCCTTCGAATATAGGCAAATTTTTCAACTGGAACGGCCCGTTCTAAAATCGGAACGACCCGTTTTCAAAAAGCAGAACGACCCGTTCTAAAATTAGAACGGCCCGTTCTGGAGTCCATGTTAACACACATTGACTATTATTGGAACGCCCAGTTTCTAACTAAACATTTTAGGCATTTTTAGAAATCCGGAACGACCCGTTTCCCTTTGGGAACGGCTCGTTCTGGAGAAATCAAAATTGGCCTCTTCTCTTCTTTGGAACGGCCCGTTCTGCTGCTTCAAAAATAGTATATTTTCTTTGTTTGGAACGACCCGTTCCACTTTTGGAACAGCCCGTTCCAGCATAAAAAAAAATAGAATTTTATAAAAAAATTTATACATAATTTAAATTATTACAAACCTTTAAAAATATTTTATAAAACCCTTTAATTAACTAAAGTAACTATACAAAAATAAATAATAATCAACATTGTATTAGTAGAAAATTTGGGGTGTTACATAACCTAATGAAGAGAATCAACATACGTATATAAAAATACATAAACTATCAACAGCTACAGCTATCAGCATATCATTGAGTTCAGCATGAATCAGCATACAACACATCACAGCATACATCTCACATCATTCAGCCAAAAGCAGCATTAAACAAACAACGCGTCATCACGCATATAAGCTCGGAGATTTCCTATAATAGCTCAGCCTTATGACCTACAACAGCTCAGCCTTACGGCCTACAACAGCTCAGCCTTACGGCCTACAACAGTTTATATCAGCATGCAACACAGCACAATGTAACAGCATTATCAGCATACAACATATGGCATAACTTAACTTTATACAACATAGTGTAAACAACATAATTCAGCATAAACAACTCTCAGCACAACAAAATCATCATTCGGCTCAACAACATTCACCAATAACAATTCAGCTCAACAAATATCAACATATATCAGCATTTCTCAGCATATATAAGCATATAATAAAGATCACATCCGCGCTCGACGCACCCATGGTTGCGCCTGGCGTGGCCCAACCAGAGAGCACCAAGGCTCAAACGCGCCCAGCGTAATTCAAATTGCGCCCGGCGTGCTAGGAGGCAGAGACTCCAAAGAGCCTCACACGCCCGGCGTGCCAAACCCGCGCTCGGCGCAGGGAAGGCAAAGACCTCCCCAAGGTCTCACGCTTGGCGCAATACCAATTGCACCCGGCGCCACCCCTGGCAGAGACCCCCAAGGAGTCTCCACGCCCGACGAGACTAAGTCACGCCCGACGCAACACCAGAAACCCAAAAAGCTAGTTACTTACTAATATCGCATCCAGCGCGGTCCAACCACGCCTAGCATGGGCCATCTAGAGGCTTCCATTCTCAAGCTCGCTCGGCGCACACAACCTTGCGCTCGGCGGGCTTGCCCAATGGAGTCCTCTGATGGTCACGCGCCCGACGTGATACCAAGCAGCAACCCTCCAAGTTCAAAAATTTTCCATCAAAACCTGCATAAACCAACAATCCAAGCGCATGCAAACCATCCAAAATTCCACATTTTCACCATACAGCTCAAAAATCCCTTCTTTTTCAACATGCAACCACAAATATAGAAAAATCCTAATTTTTCACCCAAAACCCCGAAACCCCGAAAACGAAATTTCTTCAACTCAGCACCTCAATCATCCAACATCAAGCAACTAATGAGTTTCTAAAACTCATTCTCACACAATCAGCCACAATCTAGCTTCCCTTACCTCGGTGAGACGATTCCGAGCTTCGGGAAGAGAAGAATGGAAGAAGGAGGAAAAAGGAAATCCACACTCGGCTAGCTCCGCACGACTTCAATCTTGAGGAAAGGAGAAGAATTGAGGAACCTCCTGGGCACCCACGACTTCAGCTAGAGAGAAAGAAATCATAAACAAGAATTTGGGCTAGAGAGAAAAGGAAATGAGAATGAAAGAGAGTTGGGAAAGGAAAGGAAAAAAGGGTCTCACAACCTCCCCAACAACAGAAGTTTTCGTTCCCAAAAATAGACTTACTTGGGAATAAAAAAGGATACCGCTCCCTGCACTGCTGCTCTACTTCCCAAGTAGCCTCACCAGTAGCTGCATCCCACAACACCTTCACCAAAGCAATGGACTTGCCTCTCAACTCCTTCAGCTTGTGATCAACCACAACTATCGGCGACTTCTCAAACGTCAGATTCTCCTTCACCCGCACATCATCCAACTCAACCACATGACCAGGGTCGTGGACATACTTCCTCAGCTGGGACACATGAAACACATCATGTAGGTTTGAAAGAGACGGTGGCAAAGCCAACCGATATGCAACCGGACCCACACGTTGTATGATCTGATAGGGACCAACAAACCTAGGTGTCAACTTCTTAGCCTTTAGCGCTCTACCCACACCAGAGGTTGGGGTCACCTTTAGAAACAGATGCTCCCCTTTGGCAAACTCCAAAGGCTTCCGTCTTTTGTCAACATAGGATTACTGTCTACTCTGAGCAGTCTTCATCCTCTCCTGAATCATCTTCACCTTCTTAGTAGTCTGTAGGATCAGCTCCGGTCCCA